GCTCTAACTAACTGAAAAATTAATAAATGATTGAACATTTTGTGATTGGCATGGAATGCTTTAAATGCTAACAATATTGAGGGTGACTGTTTAACTAATTGCTTAGCCTTTTTTTTTTGGAATAATTTATTAAAACATTAGGTAGGTCGTTTGTATAGGGCATTAAAAGAGTCAATTTTCAACAAGAATATAAATTTGATATTAATATATTTAATATTCACGTACAAATTTTAATAGTCGATGTTGATATGTGGTCAATTTTTTTCTTTTTTCTTAAGTGACTAATGGTGATTGAAGGCAAACTTATGTTTCAAATAGGAGCTTCGAGAGAGCACTCTTCAACTTTAATCAAGCGATCATTTTCGATCATCAAAATCTGATAGTATTGTATCTAATCAAATTTACTGATAATTAAAACCCTGATTTTGAAATTGATTATAGTCTCTTCAAATTTTTGAGCAAATATTTGATCTAAAATGTGATCTAAACTTAATAAAAATTTGTCAATTTATAATTTTAGAGCAAATATATATATATAATTCAAATAACTAACAACATGATTTAGTTGAGCCATTTTTTCTGAAAAAGTTTTTTTTTTTTTTCTAATTCTTCCCTCTCAATCTGTCTAGCTCTAAGTTGATTTTTTTAATTTATTTTTTATTAATTTCAACAAAATATAAGGAAATAATCTCCAAAATTTTAAATCGACTTACTGCGTTTTAAAATCTCATAAATTTTAAATATCTATAACGGTACTGTTATAGTGTTATTCTCCTTTTAAAAGATAATAATAAAGAGCCTATTAATGTATAACAATCAAGTTGGGCCAATACAACTGTAGTCAAAGCTCCTATTAATAGAGGTTTTGTTTGCCACTATGTTCAATTCTCTTTTTTTTTAGACATAATAATTATAATATTATTATGTTAAGAAAAATTGAGGTATATCTAAAATAATTTGGTTAGAAAATATTAAAAAGATAATTTGTTTATAAGATTTAATTTAAAATTTGACTCTTAATATGATATAATATGGAGAAAAATAATTTATGTAATCGGCCTCGTATGGCAGATAAAGACTTTTTGTTATAATTATAATTTTATTTGATAATTATTATTTTATTTTTTGTTATTTTTTAAAGAATATACAATTATTTAAATTCTTAGGTTTTTATGAAATATTACAACTGTTCCAAACAGAACAATAACTTGTTAACTTAGTTCATTTATTATATATTTTTTTATTCAAATGAGCCAAGGTCTTTTCACTCAAATCAAATCAACAAAGGTCAACAAGAACAATAACAGATTTCATAAAATTGTGACTGTTTTTTCTTATGATTATGATTGACTGAGTTGATTTTTTATATATATAAAGCAGAAAATAAATTGTAGCAGATAAGTTTAAATGTCTTTGACTTTACACTAATCAAAGAGATTCACACAAATTATCCTAACGCAATTTTCTATAAACTTCATTAAAAAATTAAGTAAGATTAATCAAACCTTGCCAAGGGAGATGAATCCATGATCCGCCTCACCGCATCCTATGCCGACGTTCAGTGATTGACCGCCGAGCATCCGCTCCACCGCCTTCTTCTTTCTATCTCCGACCAGAACTCCCGATTTATTCACAAACCCAGTCGCTCTTCCCCATCTACTAACCTCAAGCTCCGTTCCGACCACCTCGTCCGCCCCTACAAACGCCTTCGCAAATGGTTCCGCGAGTATTCTTGGATTCGCCGTAACAACATATCTCTTCCCAAAGGAGCTGAAAACTCTCCACCCCTCCGGGTGGACGTCGTCGGCGTAGAATCTCGGCAACACAGACCGCGCCACCATCTCTATGTCTCTAATCTTCAGCCCGGCGAAGGCAATAAAGATTAAAGCTTTTATGGCCAAAGCCTCCGAGAAGAGGAGACTAATGAAGTAAACGCAGGGGAATGAAGCGAGGAGAAGGAGGCCGCGGAGGAGGCTCCCTGTTTCCATGGCTACCAGCATGTAGTAAGGGAAAGCTCTGCGAGATATGAGTAGGCCGCCGTCTAGTTCGGCGGCCACCGTCTGGTTTGTCCGTCCTTCGGCGTTGCATTCCTCTATTGTTTTAAAAGCAGGAGAAGTAGCCATTGAAGAAGAGAGCCGCTTGTGGAAAGAAGCAGAGCATTTGCATTTGTATAAATAGAGAGGGGGAGCTGAGGTTGATTCTGCCATTTTAATATTGTGTGTATATTAATTGACTTATAATTTACTTAAATAAACTGTATTTGTTTGTTCACCTAAGAAGTAAGAGTATTACTCCACTCATTGAATAAATTTGTATAAAATTTTATTTCAGCTAAATTTTTTTAATGTTTCCCCCAAAAATAAATTTAAATAGACTAAACAGAATATATAGATTGTTTCATGAAGGATTTTTATTAATTCACCTAATTATTTAATGAGACTTTATTAATCTTGGTGTATTTTTTTGAAGAGTGCACAAAGCTACACCACAAAATTCATCACTCAAAAATGAATAAAAAAATGATTGAATTGTAAAGTAAAATTGATATTATATTAATTTCAAAATAAAACTAAAAAATTAGTTAGAAAATACGTTTTAATTTTTTTTTTTTAAATATTTTAGCATACTTAAGTTCTGTTTTCTGAGTACTTTCATGATAAGAAAAATAATTAGTAAAAAAATATGTGCTTGAAAGATAAATATTTCCTCAGCTAATTATTTTTTTGTCTTTAAAAAATGTTTTTGAAAAAATATTTTCCAAACTATAACAAAAAATAAACGATTAGGGCTTTATTTGCAACAGTTTTTTAACTGCGTCTTAAAGCAGCTTTTTGGTAAAAAGATTTAATTTTTGTACTAAAATACGGTTGTAAGAAGCAATAAGAAAGTCATCTTAAAAGAAGTCAAAGTTGTCTCTAACAAAAGCTTTGTTTATGATGACTTTCTCACTGCTTTGTAAAGCTATTATAGAAGAAGTAAATTTTTAAAACTGTTGTAGAAAACAACTTCCCAGCAAAAAAAAGTAGATAAGCATAAATTATTAGCAGTCTAAAAAAGCAAAATAGTAAGAAATTTATAAAAAAAAAGTCAAAATCTTAGGTGGCATTAAAAAATTAAGTTTATTACACAAATAAATTTGATTATGAAGCTTGGTCTATCATTCTCTCTCAATTTCTATTTTAGTGTTAACATAACAATAAATTTTCAAGACTGTGGGTAGGAAAATTGTTTCTTTTCCAAATTTATTCAACAAGAAGAAACCCTAAACCCTATATCTGAAAATATATTGCGCCTTCGGTAAATGTCTTTTTTCATGTTTTTAATGGCCTCATTTAAGATTGAGATCGATTTAAATAGATAAAAAACGACTTAATCAATTTCATAAAAATGAAGAAACGTATTAAATTTTGCCAAATCTTTTCGTGCTCCATTAAGTTGCGAGCTAACTTGGATGGCTCTTAATTCTAGAGGCGCGTTATTAGCCCAGTCTGCAATTGGTAGAAGCAAAAGAATACCATGAATATCACTTTCTAGTTGCCTTGTTCGTAAAGCGAAGCACGTGAAAGGCTTAATGCTTTGTTTCAGCTATCGCTGTTTTCTCACCAACATTTGAAGCTTGCAGTGTATAGTTAGCAACCCTAAGCGTCAAAATAATTAAACGTTTGGAATTCAGAAAACCGGAGGGCCGGAGTAAGCTGGCAGAGAGGTTTCTTGTGGGACTCGTAAAATACTTGTTGAATACGTTATAGTATGGGTGTCAATTTGGGTCAACGGGTCGGGTTCGGGCTGAGCCCGACTTGACCCGACCATAAATTAACAGGTTGATCCTAACCTGATCCGGTTTTGCAAACGGGTCAGATTTGTCAACTGGACCCGACCCGTGGGGGTTACCGGGTTGACACGACCCGACCCGCGAACATCTGCGGAGCACTGGAGCCAAGCGAAGCAGAGGGCCAAAGGATACGGAGTGGACGTGGGATGCTTGGACGCGGACGCGGGATGCCTGGACCGCTGGACGCGGGACGCCAAGATGGGTCAGAGGGCTGGACGCGGACGCGGACTCCGGACGTGAGACGCCCTGACGCGAGACGCTTGGACGGGACGCGGGAAGCGCCGAGCAGCGGACGCGGGACTCCTGGACTCGGACGCAACTTGTGATGCGGGATGTGGACACGACCTGACGTTGTGACTCGGGCGCGACCTAACACAGACGAAACCTGACGGGCAGCGCGGACACGACCTGAGTGACGGGCAGGAAACAGATCAATTCGGGTCGACCCGCGGGTTGTCAGGCCCACCCGAACCTGACCCACTTTTTCATACTGGCCAGAAATCCGAACCCGGACCCGACCTATTTCGTAAACGGGTTGATCAGAACCCAGATTTTTTTAGATCGGGTCCGGATCGGATTTCGGGTCATGTCAACTTTTGACACCCCTGCGTTATACTCTGATTCTCAGGCTTTGTTTGTTTGAGCGTTTTTTTGCCTTCTCCGTTTTCTAAAACGGAGGAATTTTTTTTTGTGTTGTTTGGTTCGTCAAATCACGTTCCCAATAACTCCTTTTTATCATTTTTCTGCAGTTTTGAGAATGCTTTTTAAATGTGCTTCTCCGTTAGAAAACTCCATTTTCTGAACTAATATTTTTTAAAACTGTGTTTTACAAAAGCACAAAAAAAACAAACGAAGCCTCATTCGATAGATAATCGGTGTGGGTGGCCGACGCTCATGAATGGCTTTGCTTGGACTTAGGGAACACCGAAAACCACGGCGGCAGGGAGGGATGAAGGCTTGAGGCAAAGCAAGAGCAGAGGGTTTCTCGTGGGAATCGTTAATTGATTTTTTGAATATATTGTCGGTGCAAATTAAATGGATAACCGAGACGATCTCCACCCGCTCCCGTGCGCGCTATGGCTGTTTGATTTGAGGGAACTGAAAGAGATAATGAAAAGAGTTTTTATTTATTATAAAGAAGGGATATTGTGAGAGTTTCAAGATTGGTGAAGAAATTGTTGATGCAAAATTATTTTTAGGGTATTTGTTGGAAAAGTTTAATTTTTTAAGAATTATATTGGAATCAAAATGCTGATATAAAATCATGAAGGAAATTTGTACAATCAAATATTAGAGCCTACTCTTAAGTCAAGTTGGCTTGGTTCAAGCCACGCTTGCTAGGTCTATTTTTGTTCTGAGCTTAAAGAAGCTCATTAGTGTGTAAGAGAAATTGTCTGAGAAGGTCAACTATAATCTAAGAACTTGTATTTATCAAGCAAGCACAATATGTAATATATGTCGTCTGAAATCTAGATAGTTATCTACTTATAATTAAAAAAGTTAATGAGTTTGTTAATGATTTTTTTTTTTAATTGTTTAAAGTGTTATTGTAAATGGACCCTCAAGATCCTGAGACAGTTGACGGGTAGAGTTTTAGAGCTACTATGGTCCATAGCGTAGCAGAAGCTATAGCATCAAATTCAATGATGTAGTTTGTTGGGCTTGTGGCGCAATTGATAGGATAAACCCAAAGTAGAATATTGGGTGTGAAGGGAGATGAGATATATTGCCATTTACATATTATGTTTTTGACTAAAGCCTCCACATTTTCAGGGAGGTTTAAATCCCCTTGTTGTAGAGGATTGGCTTTTGAGATTGGACAAATCATTTAAACATATACAATGTCCTGAAGGCAAGGTACCTTTAGCAGTGTTTCTTCTAGATATAGAAGCCAAGCGCCGGTGGGTAGGACATCAGAGACAGAAGTTCCGTGGTAAGGTGAATGCTTAGACATAATGGGAGGAGATTAGTTTGTTCTACCCTCTACAAGGAAGCAAATGTAGGAGTAGTTCACGATGCTTGTTCAAATGCGTAAATTGGTGCTGTAATATGAAACAGATTTTACAAGTCTAGCTCAATATAACCCTCAATTAGTTAGTACGTCAGAGGATAAATATTATCAATTTCTGAGAGGATTTAAGGATAGTTTGAGGCATATACTAGTACCATTTCATATTCGTGGCTTTTTTTAGTTGGTGGAGCATGCTAGAATGGTAGAGAATAACTCGAAAGCTGCACAATATAGGTGGGATGCAAGTAGGAGAAGATTTGGAGGGAATCCCTCCAATAGTGGAGTAATTAGTGGAAAGCAACCCAAGTTTGGTGGCAGTTGAGACTCTAAGAAGGAGAGTCATGTAGTTTCTTAAGTTCTTGTGTATATGTATCTATTAGCAATGCTTCCTTTTTGTGGTTATTATGGTAGAAGATGCTTTGGTAGATGTTATAAGTATAATGGTTAGTATTTTTGTTGTGGCCAACCGGGTCACAAGATAGCTCAATGTCCTTAGAATGTACCAAAATGTAGATATGAAGTCAAAGGCACTCAGAGGAAATCGTTAGCAATGTAATAGCTTGTATTTTAACCAGTAAAATTTTTTTTTAGGAGTCGTTATAAGTTCAACTCACAAATTATTTTCGTCATAACATAGATATTATATTGATTTAATTACATTAATTTTTTCATAATTTTTTTGCACCGGCACAAATCTTTATGAAATTAATACTTGTCGGTAGAAGTGAGATTTTGAGAACTATTTTATGGATATTTTTTTATAAATTTTGAAGCTCATAGGCACACATATCACTTCAAAACACAGACAAAAGAGTTCCAAATACAAAAGTTTAAATGTTAACCTTTTTCAAATTGGTCATAACAAATTAAACAAAATGCTAAATCTGAAGGTCTCACAAATATGATTATAAATATTATGTCATTGCCTCTAATATTCAAGTTGTTAGACAATTTGAGACTAATGACAACATTGTTTTGAATATTAAAGGCAATGACATAATGTTAGTATTTTTATGATTATAACATTCCTCTATATACATATATTAAGATAACTCAAATGATTCAATTCTTAAAGAAATAGTGTGAGCAAAATAATAAATTTGAATCATATTTGTACTATGTTCAAATTATATCGAATATTGATTTAATCTTGCTCTAACTTTGCCTTATCCTTAATAGAATCTTGATTAGCCTTGCTAACTTTTTTTTTTTTGGAATAAGGAACCGACATTGTTCATTTTTTTCAAACCTTAATCAAAATAGTTTCAAAACATGATAAAACCTTATTAAAATACGAGCAATATTCAAATAAGCTTTGAATACTATTTGATCATGACCTGAATATATTTCAATTAAGGTCATAATAAGTTTTGATCAATGTTTGAAACTTGTAATCTTATTTCTAATATCCTTCACAATTTAGGGAAAATAGTGCAAAAAATGATTTTAACCCTAAATAACCAAATGTATAATCATGTATGTGAACGAGAAAGAGTCAAATAACTTCTTGCTCGAAAGGTCAATTATATAATGCTTGAGTTCCCTTTGAATTTTATAGGCATTTTGGTCTAAAATGAAAATTTTGGTTTTATTTTCTTAAGAAATGAAATAGCATATATATTTATATTCAATTTTGAGCATTATGGGGCATATAAAATTAAATTTCTCAACAAAAAGCTAAACATAATTTTACTGCATGTAAAATAATGAAATATAAAAATATTATTGGAAAAAAAGTTTGTTTTCATGTTAATTAGAAGCAATTGACAATCTATGACATGCTAACTAGTTGTGACCTAACTTCATATGTGTAAGTGTTGCCATTACTTTTTACTAAATAACTTAGATATGTTGACTTTTAAGGGAGAACTATATATATAATAGATAAAATTTGTATAAATATTTTAATTATGTCATTTATTTGAACTATTGAACTATATATTCATGTGTCTCATGATTAAATGTTAGAAATTTGTTTAAATTAAAAATTTGATATGAATTTTAATATTTAAAATAGAATTTAAAAGTAGATTTACATACATACCACTATATTATTATTATTTTACATTTCTAACACCTCAAATATTAATATTATGGTTATACCACTCAAATCCCTACTTTACCTCAATTCTACCACTCCGTCTTCCGCAGGCTCACGATGTCTTTTTCACTCTTTCTCCTGCAAGCTCACGACATCTTCTTCCCGCTGAAATCATCCCTTCGCACGCTACATCTCATGAGCTTTGTCCCGGAGGTCTGCTCGCATGGTGAAATCTACCTTACCGCTAACTCCTTTACTCATACGTTCATCCAACATACCAAGCATGCTTTGTTCTAGTTTCCATTCCATTTTTTAAGTTCCTTAAATTTTCTTTTGTTTTGCATGCTCTGTTCTAGTTTCCATTCCATTTTTTAAGTTCCTTAAATTTTCTTTTGTTTTTTTGTATGTGTGGATATTTATATTTGTAATATCAAATTAAATTCGACATTGTGGTTGAACAAAACAAATTGATTGAGCCATCAATAGGAACTTAAGAGTGCTTGAAACTTCGTTTGTGATGATTTTTTAATTGCTTCTTATAATAGAATTTTAGCACAAAAATTTTAGTAAAGAAGCAATAAAAAAGTCGTCACAAACGAAATCTTAGTCCTCTTCTTTAGACGGTTTCATATGTAAGATGGCATGATAAATGATACCATCTAAACATATTAATCATTACCTTAGGGGAAGCAGAAGCCCTCGCAATATAAAACTCCATGTAAAACCAAGATACATGTTCTAGGAGGAAGAAACCTCTCATCATGGAATATCAGGTAATTCTACGAGAATATTTCTGCAGGCATAAAATATAATAGCAAAAACAAAGCAAACAGTTGAAAACTCAATATGTAAATACTTTCCAAATGATATTAAATTATGTTTGTTGTTTTCCTATAACGAAAGGGATTGTTTGAAACAGATTTTCGAAGGAAATCATGTATTTACTCTAAATAGTTAATTGATGTGTTCCAAAAAGACTTATATTATGAGTATCAAATGATTCATTTAAAAACCCTTACAAAAATTTAAATGACATTTTTTATCAATGATACTGTAGGCTTATGACGACAAAATTAGAAATAATTTATACGTAGAGCAAAAAAAGTATATTTTCATTGCATTTAAGTTTGGAGGAAATGCATTGTCTAATCATAGAATCGGCATCTCAAATATTAATCTTAAATCAGTGTTAACAAACACTGATTTGCAAAATCTAGTAAAATATTCGCAATGGTCAAACGACAACATAAAAAAAGAACGTGAAAGAAGATTCATGATATAAAACCAAGTACTGCATAAGAGACTGATGAAAAAACTAATCGAAACAAAAATTTCATTCTCTTACCTTGGATTGTGAAAAGGGCCGGCTTTGTTCTCATATAATGGAACGCAACCCCCCTCCTTCTTCACTTCAGTGGGTCATAGAAGTTAACCCCTAATTCACGAAAAAAGGGAAGGAGACATCGTGAGCCCCGTTGGAGATGGAGTGTTAGAATTGATGTAAATTAGGAATTTGATGGTATAACTGTAATATTAATAGTTGAGCTGTTAGATAGATAAAATGATAGTAATATAATGATATGTATCTAAATCTCCCTTTTAAATTCTATTTCAATTATTAAAATTCTTATCAAATTTTAATATTTGAAATATAAATTAAAAATAGATTGAAGAAAATGTTAATATTGTAAATAATAAAATTTTCACTTACAGGTATGTCCTTTTATAAGGTGGGAGCCTAGTGTAGTCAAGCGTATGCGACCTTCAAGAGTTCTAGGGTTGCGAGGAGGAAGACGAGAAGTATGGATGTCATAAAGACACAGCAGATCTCGTTACGGCCGATCGAGAAGGTCATCGTGCACCCTTTAGTTCTCTTGAGCATCGTCGATAACTACAACCGCGTTGCCCGCGACCCACGCAAGCGAGTCATCGGTGTCCTTCTTGGTAGCTCCTCAAAGGGCGTCGTCGATGTATCCAACAGTTACGCAGGTATGAATTCGACATATATTTCATTTGTTCTGATGCAATGTATCAAGTTCGCATCCATGTGCTTTTTATTACTTATAGTTGTAGTTCTAGGAGATTGGAACTAGGCATAGCCTTAATATGCGATTTTGAAGGTTTCCGTGATTAATTTGAATGATTTTTTGCTTATCTTTAGTGATTCCTTTTCTCTTTTATCCATGTGCTTTTCCGCTGGTCAGATACATGTCTATTAAAACAAATGATGATCAATACCATCACGAGTATTTTCGGCAAAAAAAAAAAATCGGCAATACAATCACGAGTTGAATTTGCAATGCCTAATTAAGTAAAATTATGAAATAATAATCTTATCTTGCATATCTGAGGGGTATATTTCTTTGCAATAGAAAGAAACTGCTATATCTTCCTTTTCCTTCAACGATGTTTCTAGGCAGCCTTGGTGAATATGCAAAATTCTACTTTCGATGGGGTGAGGTGACCAAGCCATAATCTTTTTTATGTAACTTGTTATATTCTTCCATTACGGAGTTTTATCAATATTTGTGCCTACACTATGTTGCGTACCACTTGGACCTTAATTATGTTTTAATTAAAACCTTGAAATAAGATTACATGAATGAGCTTAAGATATTCTATGAACTATATATTTTTTCCAATAAGTTAAATTATTATTTAATTACAACCAAAAATAGAAAATATTTCAATATTTCATCACTTGGACAACATTAATTGGTAATTTTAACCAATTCACAAAAAATATTTGTTATAATGTGGCCACAATATTTAGTAAATTAGCTTTTGAATATAACATTTCCAATCATGATTTCGTCTTTTAAAATTTCTCAAACATCAAATCATGGAAGTTGTCTCCCTCTTTAATGATGCTAAACTGATTCATGGTTATAAATGTAAATTTGTTAATATGAGTTACATTTGTAGCAAGAAAATAACATTTAAAATGTGATCCAACATACTATTTTCATTATCGTCCTTATATTCCTTTGCAGAAAATGCCTTTATAGGGCTCCTCTAACAATGCATCCTTTCTTTTGCATTATGACTAAGAAAAGAACACATGTGGTGTGGCGTAGGGTTATACCCTTAAGTGGTGGATTAATTGTCTAAGAGACTTCTAAAAGATGTTAGGAGTGATGTAGAAGCTTTGGTGAGAGTGGAGGAGAAGTGGAGTTGAAATGCCAAAACAATGTGACTAAGGAAAGAACATTTGATGCAACTTTGAATCAAAATGAGTCGCTAGTGCCATAATGACCTGAAAAGAGGCCAATGAAAACATTTCATTGAAGTTAATACCCACCCTTTGAGTAAATCCTTTTGCAACTGATCTTGTTTTAAAATGCTCAACCTTTCCTTTGGAATTTTATCCATTGAAATGAATGATTAATTAATGGTACTTCATATAACAGAAAAAATTTCAATTTATTGAAATTATGTATTGCAACTTGTTGAATATGATGCAGGGTATTAACCACACACGTATGTTGCACAGATACGCCTATTTATGAGGCATGCTGTATCGGACACGTGTCAGATACGGATACGCCTCCGATACGGCACAAATACGTGTCGGATACGGCTTTGCCGTGTCCAATTAAAATACTATTTAAATTTGATCGGACACGCGTATCACTTGATACTCGGTACTGCTACGAGCATACTCGGTACTGCTCGGTACCACTCGGTACTGAGCGATACTAGAACTCAGTAGTCAGTACTGCTCGATACTCGGTACCGCTCGGTACTTGTCGGTACCGAGCGATACTAGAACTCAATACTGCTCGGTACTGCTTGGTACAGCTCGGTACCAAGCAATACTAGAACTCTGTACCGTTCGGTACCGGAACTCGGTACCGGAACTCGGTACCGCTCGGTACAACTCGGTACAGAGGGGTACCGAATGGTACCAAGCAGCAACATCATGGGCTGCCCTCGGAAACCCCCGCAGGGGCGCTGCCCCTTGACCCCACGACCTGAACCCCCGCCAGGGGGCAACGCCCCCTTGGACCCCCGGCATAGGCGCAACATATCTATACTTTTTATTAAAAAATTTCATGTTTCAAATTCATGTGGATTAATTGTGTCGATCCTTCGTGCTTTTAATTTAAAACTTCATATGCTGGACAATTTATGTTTATGTTTTTGTTGTTGTACTAGACATTTAAATAATTAATGCTTATTTTTATTTAGATATTATAAGATACAATGCTACAAATGATGTTGCTTTCAATTTTTTTTTTGTCATTTCAAATATTATGCTTTGATTAATTTGTTATTTTTTATGTATGATTTATATATTATATTGCTGTATCCGCGCTGTATCCGTATCCTGTATTTTTAAGAATTGCCGTGTCCCGTATCCGTATCGTGTCGTATCCGTGTCACCGTATCCGTATGGGTGCAACATAGCCATACACCTATAACAGCTTATTATTTCCTTATGATATCTTTGCAGTGCCTTTTGAAGAAGATGACACAGATCCAAGCATCTGGTTCCTGGATCATAATTATCATGAGGCAATGTTTTCTATGTTTAAGAGAATAAATGGTATTACTTGTCTCTTTAATGGAATTTTAGGCTGTTTGGACCAATAAGTTTCATGGCATGACATTTATGCTGAAGCGCTTTTTATTTTTTAATTTTCAGCTAAGGAGCATGTCGTTGGTTGGTATAGCACAGGTCCAAAACTGCGTGAGAATGATTTGGATGTTCATGCTAGATTTAATGAGTAAGATTACTCCTTCAATCCTCATTCAAGGGGTTTAAATAGTACAGTTCCTTTGCCCAATACATGCTTTCATAGTTCCTTTTAGGCATTGAACCGTGCTCTTTTGTATCTCTTTCAACCTTTCATGTACGAGTTAATAATACACAAAAAATCAACTTGATCTCTTAAGCTTGTTGCTACATTTAACACATTCCTATTCATAGAGATTCAATTTACCTGGGATTTGTACGCATAAGAATATCTTGTATCTTAAACAGTTGAAATGTTTTTTGTGACCTGAGTGTGCATTTGAAGATCTCTATTTTGATTAGCTATTTCTAGTTCTTGATCATTGTACCAAGATGCATGGAAAGTATTTTTCTTCTACAATCTCTTCTAATTTTCGAAGTAACTTGAAGTTTGATCACTTTTTCTTGTTTCTATCGCAAGTTTGTGTTGTTTTTATTAACAGGATATATAATGATTAAACTTTGTGGGACACAATATTATTTTGTTTCTTACGCTTTATTATTACAGTTATGTGCACAATCCTGTCTTGGTCATAATTGATGTTCAACCTAAGGAGTTAGGAATACCTACCAAAGCTTACTATGCTGTTGAAGAGGTTAAAGAGGTGAGCTGATTCAAGTGTATTACAATTTCTCATGAAATTTTCTTATCTTTATTCTGAGGCAGATTAATATTATTAAGACCTTGATTGTTGATATGTCGATATGGTTATAGAATGCTACCCAGAAAAGTCAGAAGGTCTTTGTGCACGTGCCTTCTGAAATTGCTGCTCATGAAGTTGAAGAAATTGGTACGCCCATGATGCTGCTGAATTTGAAATCTTTAGCTAATATTCATGTCTTTTGCAATTGTTTTTTGTTCTTGAAAACTGCTCCATTTTTTATGATTTGAAGGATGTGCTTATTGAGGCCTCTTCATATCTTTCTATTGTAGAGATCATTATTTTGTCACACGATTACTTAAAGATGTTAAACTTTCTGCCTATCTGTTTTAGGAGTTGAACATTTGTTGAGGGATGTCAAGGATACCACTGTCAGTACTCTTGCAACAGAGGTATTTTTCTACTCTGTTTTACTTAGTTGGATCTAAAATAATTAGCTATAGGTTATTGACTCTGAGTCGAATTGGCATTTTGATTATGTAGGTTACAAGTAAACTTGCAGCCTTAAAGGGCCTTGATGCAAGGCTTCGCGAGATAAGGGGTTATTTAGATCTTGTCATTGAAGGGAAGCTTCCATTGAATCATGAAATTCTTTACCATCTGCAGGTTGGATGTCTTATTTGTCTGCTGTCCGTATAATTATTTTATTTTCACTAAATTGCTAATTAATTTAATATACGCATTGGATCTCATGACACAAGCAATTTAAAGGGTTGCTAGTCTTTTATTTTTTTAATTTTATTGATTTATTTCATATTATGATTTAAACATTCTTGTTTATATTCTCTATTTTCTCTTTCTGAAAGAATGGTAAGATAACAGAGCTCATGACCTGTTGGGCGTCAGTCTTATTCAGTACTTTAAAGCATGACAGTCCCAAGAGAGCCATTATTTCATGCTAGACACCTCGTCTGACATTCACCCACACTCTCTAAAGACATTCTATTTGGAAAAATTTCCCTGTGCTTCTTGAACATATAACTATGCCAACATATGTAGAACTCAAATTGTTGAGAACCTGCCTGTTATATGCAAAAGTAATGCTATGAATAGTCCCACTATTATTCATCCTCATTATTACAGCCCAGTGGACTTGTTATGTAATAATGACAAATAAGATCATAAGCATACAGTACTTTTATGCAAAACAGGATTCCGGGAAAATAACTGTGACCATAATTATCCTAATAAAATGTTCTTTATTTTTAGAAAATTATTCCAATACTTCTTGAACGTTTGGGTATGGGGACATGTGTAGAACTCAAATTGGGGAGAATCCACCTGTTCTATAGAAAATTAATTTGAATTATTCCACTATTATTCATCCTCATTTATTACTGCTGACGTACTCACTATATAAAAATGACAAATAAGATCATTAATTGTACCCCACTTGTAAGTCTTCAAAACAACAATCCAGGAAAATGACTGAAATCATAATAATCCAAATGGAATTAATTATCAGATAATCTCCATCAGTAAAATTTGCTGCTGCTCAGCTTCAAATTTTGTAAAGATTTGATACCACAAAAAGCCATCACTCTACTAAGAATCAACCCCACAATGAGAATAATTAGTTGTAGAGTTTGACTAAATCAATCACATTTGTAAAACCAATATCAAATTTTATAGATGAGAAGAGCATGGTAAGAGATCACTAAAGGAAGAAATCAAATCTCTTGTATTCATACATTGAGATCACTACATCCAACCACCTCTTCTACCCTATTCACCCACCAGCCTGCCTTCACCACCACCTCCTTTAATTTCCTGACCCAATCTCGTGAATGCCCAACGTCGTCAGCCCCATTGGCTGCCCAAACCGCTGGCCACTACACCAACCAAGCTGTCGGCCTCCACCCCACCGCCCCTCTCCTTCCCAAGCCTTAACAGCCGGCCACCATGTCCCCAAAAATCTGAAATTCAAAAGTCCAATCACAATTATTTTCTTTCCTAAAATAAGCCATAGTCAATTAGGAAAGTTTCCTATTGGGGATTCAATTAAATATTTGAATTCAAATACTTTCCTATTGCTAAAACCCCATTTAGGAAACCTTCATACTTAAATCAAATATGAAATTAAATTCAGATTTGATTTCAATCACTATTTATTCCTTGGAGCCCACATACTTAAAACAAAAACTCCTCTCTCCACTCTCTACATGGCCGGCCCCCTCACCAAGCCTTTTATCTCTTCTTTCCATTATTTCCTTTCTCAAATGAAGCCACAATTAAGTTTCTAATTGATACTCTCTCTCTCTCTCTTAATTTCCCTCTTGATTTTGAAATTCTTTGAAATTCAAAATCTGAATTTTGATATTTCCAATTAGGAAAATCTGAACCCTAATTCAGATTTTATTTTTCTACATACCTAAAACCTAAAGCTCACCCTTGGCTAAAACATAGCTATTATTTAAGTCTCGTTTAAAATTTAATGTATTTCTCACTACAAATTAATGTAGAAACTCAACTTTTTAATCGAGTTATAACTAGTCAAAATTAACTTAAACTTATTTGTATTTAATTTAGAGTAAGGGTCGAACTTTACATATTTTTAAAAAATTATCTTCAATTTCCCCTTAGAAAATTTATTTGAGCCAAGGCTAGAATTCGATTATATTGCTATGTTTGATACATAATACTAGTGAAAGATTAGTTGATTTATTGATAACATATTACTCATATTTAAATTGGTTATTAGTGCAAATCATACATTCAAAATTATTTTAATTTTAATTTTGACCCACTTGGTCAAAGGGACCACTATGGCATTTATAATATTTGAATAACATAACTAACAATTTGTAAAAGGCTAATGTATTCATGGATACTAAGTGTGGTATATATACTATTGCTTTGTTTATTTATATTTTCCTATTTGTCCTTGGGGTGGATAGAACACAATGCATGATAGCTAAACATGACCTATCCAAGGCCTTTCGGTGATACTAGCATTCACACAATGGTCACAATCCACCTGTTCTATTTGATCGTTGGGCTGATTAGGATTAGGAGAGTTGTTGTGAACTCATGTAGGGGCAAGTGCTTGCTTAGTGGTCTGTTTTGTGACATGTTAATCACTTAATGTCCAAAGTTTGAAATCAAAGGGTTTAACAACTCCCTTTCCCTTGGGATTGATGGATTCTTTGGGAGCAGATGACAATTGTTGAACCAATTTGGGAGGCGAGCTACATCCATAAAAATTTGGAATTAAAGAGCGTCTATTAAATGAGCTCGAGTTAGAGCTTGCAAGCTCGAATGATTGTTAGGATTTTTTAAATAATAATTAATTTTATTAAATTTGAATGTTTAAAAAAAATTAATGGTGAAAGCTGCAGCCTAATAAATGCTACATTATATATATATATATATATAACAGTAAAGATATATTCTCAAAGAAAAAAAGTTACAGACATTAATTGTTCCAATTAATTAATTCAAGGTATGGGAAAACGTGCAACAAACTTCTTTCACGGCTTTATCACGTCAACAACAACTTTGTCGTCTACTTCTCCTTTCCGTTGTCGGTGTTTCAGACAACTGTGACTCAGACCCTTCTTCTTGTTCGTCAGCCTGCACTCGGAAGTTCTCGTTGGATTTTACATTTTCACGATAACCTTCCATGAAAATGAGTTTGAATTGAGCTGAGCTCGAGCTTTAATTTTATACAGCGAGTTGAGTTTGAGCTCATTAAACGAGCTCGATTTGAGCTCACTGTGAGATAAACGAGCTCAGCTTGATAATGTCACTACTTGCCTCGACTCAACTCGTTTACACCCCTACAATAGAACAATCTTACTATGGGTGAACACAATGGGTTCTCGTAAGGAGAGAAACATGGCTGAGGGTTTGCTAACAAGGAGAAGTAGACATAAGGTCGTACTCACCACAAAATAACAACTTAACAATAGACTTATTGGTGCAAACTTGGCAGGCTTAGGTGTTTGCTTTTAACACAAGCAACATGAATTGGTTACTCAGAACTAGCACGCAGGGTTTGTAATTTCGTCAAAATGCATGTAGGATTATGTGTTTAAAATGATGTGCAAATGTAGTGAATTTTTTAACAGAATTAAGATAGATAATGAACCCAATCAAGTAATAGTTTATCCAATCAACTGTGAAGGACAACATGCAAAATATGCAGGAATTTTTAATACAAGAAATGTAAGTGCTTAAAACAAATTAAAAACAATAGCTAGGTTCAACATGCTCTGTTACTAATTATGATATAGGATGAAATGAGAAACTTCAACAATAGCAAGGTTCAACTTGCTTTGATAGCAATTATAATGTAGGGTTTAATGAGAAGCTTTGTAATGAAGTTTTAAAGTATAAATTTTTGCAGTTCCTTTCAAATAAAATCAACTACCATCTTGATGAGTTAGTAGTTGAAGCTTCGCAATAAGATACAAGATTAACAAAAGTGTTTTTTTTAATCAATTATGGTGATGAACTAGAGGAGGAAAAAACATCTGAAGTAAAGAAAGGATAATGATAATACTATAGCAGTATTAATTTTAATGTGGAGACTTAACCAACTTGGACTGCTTAATTTGTTGGTATGAAGATAACCTCCCGGGTAGTCTATCGTCATGAATATTGTCTCCCTTTCTTGGAAGTCCTCCAAGGGAGGATAAAAACCTTAATTTTTCCTCACTTGGTGTATGAGCACAAAGAGAATTTCAGCACTTTACCAAATTTTCATTCACTTAATTACAACTAGATAAGCTATTGGATAGGTGTTTATCACCAGAGAAGGGAAATCAAGGGATGGATGGCTGGCCAAGGTCTTAGGAAGAAAAGATTGAGTAATTATTATAGGGGAATTAAAGAGTTGCATTTAGGTTCGAAGAAGGTGAATAAAATTCAATTAGTTATTTTATGTTTTCCAAAGAAAGGTGGGGATTGTCTGCATTTATGAAGAGAGAGATGCAGGGACTGGTGGTTGTGACTTAAATGAGGGATTTAGGTTGACTTAGATCTTTTAATAAATGTTTGACACACCAAAAATCTACCTACATGTAGATTACTCATAATTCAAATTTCGTTCTAATTAAAATGATAACGTAACGCTATTTTATATTAGCCCTGTTACGTGATCATTTTAATGATGTCTATCAAACTATGCATTGTGATATGCTTCTGTTTTGTCATATCCACTATAAAGTTATCTAGAGTTTTGTCATATCCACTATAAAGTTATCTAGAGTTTGTTGCCTGCTAGTTCAACTTGCCTAAATGGATATGTTTATTTAAGTTCATTGTTAAGATTGGCCTGACAAATCATGTGTATAGGGGAAAGCGTTTAAGCTAGATAAAGAAAGGTCGAGTAAGACTAAGGACGAGGTTGAGCTCTAGCTTTCGGTAGGGTAGAAATGCATGATGCATTGTGGAGAAAATCAAGACAGAAGAATGTTGGAGAAACTAATTCTCACATTTTCTTATTCCTAAATCAGGTTCATATATAAAAAGTGTTTTGAAAAATAGCAAGTAAAGAAAGCATAGCCTAAAGCAAGAAATACACTAACATAATTTCATATTTTGAATTCCCAGTGATTGTGTAACAAATCGGGATAGAAATGAGGTAATTAAAGCATCAAATC